AGAGTTCTTTGTAAGCACATCTGATTGTGTGTTTTCTGGTGGTACAATAAGCTGATTTTTGGAGGAAGGACCAGGCTGGTTGTAGCACCATGTGAGTATGACCCTGCAAGTGACCAGTGCAAAAAAACTGACCACTTGTCTATGAGAGGAACAGGTGATGATTATATAGCAAACTTGGGGGATCTATTGAGAAGCACTCATTTTCCATTTCTACAAGCTCTCTTGGTGACATAAATGTTCCCATTTCCTCATACTAAACACAGAAGTGCCAAGAGCCAACTGAGGAAATGAAAATCTGAGGCAGAAATAATTTATTAAAACATAAAAAGAGTCCCAATACTCAGTGGCTTCAAGCGAAGCTGATAATATCGGCACCAGATAATCTGAACATTCAGGAAATTAGCAAAGTGCCCTTGGGGAGAAGAAGATGAGTTAATGACAAACACAAATTTTTCTTTTATTGCAGCAGGTAGCTAAATTCCCTGAAGTGGCTAATAAACATTGGTATGGGGATCCTACTCATAGTATCGTTCCTCTCTGGAGTTTAGGAGAGTTTTCAACTTCTTCCTAAGGGTAAAAGTGGCCCAGACCCCCTAACTGAAGGGCAAGTATACCACATGCAATTATAAGGTTATAGAGGCAGCAGTGTATAGGGAGGCCCACGACGCTGGGAAAAATTCGGGCTCTACTCTCACTGGCTGTTTTCAATAAAAGCCTCCACTTTCTCAACCAGCAAAATGACTGTAACTACATCCATAATAATATGAGATAATGGCCAGAATGTAAAAAGTGATCAATAAGTAGTAGCTTTTCTAAAATATTATTATAATTATTATTACTGAGGCTTTGCTTATACTAAGGTTTACACTATCATAAAGGGAAAGGGGAATCGCTTCCGTGGGAAGCACCAAAGACCCAGGTGAGCCTTTTAGAATGTTGCTCTGAGACCCCAGTGGTTCGAGCAGATTAGCATCAAGAAGGTTATCTCAAAGACCTTAACGCCACCAGCGTGGGGGGGGTGTACAGCAGTGCTTCCAAGATCATCTTTGGATCAGGGACCAGACTGAGCATCCGGCCAAGTAAGTAGAATGAAGCAGGAGAGCAAGGGAGGATGGACAACTATTTCTTCTTTGTCCAAAATGCCGACTTGAGCCCAGGTATTTTCCTCTGTGGGCTCCCAAATAGTTTCTTCCACCCATCCCCAGAAAATCCTCCCATCCAGCACTCAGTGCCCTGCAGACATCATCCTTAGGCTGGGACCTTAGGAACAATGAGACAGGCGATGAGCAAGGACTCCTGAACCTTCCACAAACGTATCCAAGATACTGCTGCCTGGAATTGAGGTTTTTGTTCTACTGAATTCTTAGTTAATTGAAACCATATGAAATCACAACCTCAGCCCAGGGAACCACAGCAGAATGGAGCAGGAGGAGAACTGTACATATCAGAAGCAAAATTTCAGTGCAAAAGAGCAGAAGGTCTAACTCTTAGGAGTGTGATTCTCCTGCCTTGTGGGGGAGATCAGCGTTTCTCTTATGTAAGTAACAGGTAGGTCCTGTGAGTTTCTGCAATGGTGTCACCCGTGGTGTGAATACTGGAGGAACAATTGATAAACTCACATTTGGGAAAGGAACCCATGTGTTCATTATATCTGGTGAGTCATCCCAGGTGGCACCACTTGCAACCCCATGGGCCAGTGTCGCTAATCCTTTCTCTGGGGATATCACTTACTACCATGGTGAGGCTTGCTGAAGATGTTGTAACTAATTGTCTTACAGAAGTCTGGGAAGGGAAAAGCATCACTATCTGTCTTGAATATTCATGTTTCTCTAGGTCAAACACATTAAAATTTGACTTTAATCATTCAATGGATATTGTAAAATGCCTTCTATGTGACTATCACTCTATAAAATGCTAGACTAAGTATGAAGTGTAAGATAGATTCCTGTCCGGTCCTCAAGTGGTATAAAAACTAGACAAAGGTACAGAACTGTTGTAAATTAAGCAGCCCGAAAACTGTTCTAGTATTGACCAGCTGATGATGTCAATGGACACAATAGAGATTCAGAGGAGATAGGGTGCTGGCTGAAAAGTTGGCCTAGATTGAGAAGTTTCATGTGGTACAAAGGATTCATTGAGCCCCGAAAGATGGATAAGATCTGTATGGGCAGAGAAAGGAGAGAAGGGGAGTTCTGGCCATAGGGAACAACAAGAAAGAAGGCATGATCTTGGGAATAATGAAGGCACATGCATTGTAGCCTAAGTATACATCTGATAATAAAATTGGTTGAAAAGTACTCAGAGAACATGTCTTTTTAGGCATGGAAAAAGGAAATACTAGAGCACGAGAATACAGAAATTAGGGCCGGGCCAGCCAGCCATTGGGAAACTGAGAATCCGATTTAGAGATGCAGACCAGAAGTGAAGGTGAGAGGAGCCAGCTACGGTGCTGCAGACCTCCCCTCTCCTTCCTCAGTGGGCTCTGAGAGGCATCATCCCACACCTTAGAGGAGGAGAAACCTAAGGGATTCTGTAATAGAGACACTCGGAGTGGTATGAAGGTGTTACCTCCCAGTAGCAATTTGGCAAAGGAACCAGAGTTTCCATTTCTCCCCGTACGTCTGCCCATGCCCACAGTTTCCTGATGCTCACTAGAACCTCAGTGGGACCCAGAGCCAGTGTCACTAATTCTGATTTCTGGGTCCCTAGTGCCCAACTACAGGGGGCAGATTTAATGGTAAGGGAGCTTTCAAGCACTGCTGCGTCCCTAGGGACTTAAAGCACTAGAGCACATGTGCTTCTGCAGTTCATTTTGAATGTAAAGGACAGTTTAGGATCTAGAGTAGCTGAACTTCCACATCAAAAAATTGGTTCCGTCTTGCCAAGCCTACCTTCTGGTATCGTCAGTGATGGGATGTATTATTCTTACTAGGGTAGAATAGGATGTCTGTCCCCAAAGGGCTCTGGCAGACAGACCCCTAAACACCTCCAAATTAAAAGTGGCAAAGAGATAAAGTTGAACTAGAGGTACATGGGGATAAAAAGTATAAAAGGTACATGGGATGAAAGTATAAAAAGGCTAAAAAAAACTCAGTACCTCTAACTCAGCCCCTGTTGCCATTTCTCGGAGTCTTGTGTTCCGTGGCATTGCACTTTCTATACCAACAGTGTCCAGTAGAACTTTCTGTGGCAATGGAAATGTTCTGTCAATCTCCACTGTCCCATGCAATGGCCACCAGCTACATGTGGCTATTGAGCTCTTGAAATGAAGTTTCCATTTTTAATTGAAAACATTTTATTTCACATTGACTAATTTTCATTTCAACAGCCACATGTAGCTAGAGACTATTATACTAGACAGAGCAGCCTAGATCTTCTCCAGTCTGACACCCACTGGCCCCAGGACTTGAATGAGTGTTTAACCAGGACTCAAAGTTGGGTTTCTGCCCCACAAAGCCACCCACTTTCCCTGATCAGGGGCCACCAGATACAGATTGGCTTGAGGATCAGCACTTCCAGACTCTTCTCTCCCCCTCTGCAGTGCTGCCCAAGACCCCCACTGATGACTAACAATCAGGGGGACGTGTTGGTGGAGCTAATGGCTTTCTGTCTGTCCCTTCCCAGCAAAGGAACTATGCCTTAGGGCCTTCACCCAGAGAGATGTCAGGCTGCCCAAGTATAAGGAGGTTGGAGGGAAGTAGGCAGAATCCTCTGGAGCCACAGCTCTGGATGTCTCTCCCCTCTGACCATGGAGCCCACCCCTGCTCCAGTGCTCCAGGGGCAGCCGCGTGCTGCAGGCAGCTCTGCCTCCACTCAGCATCCCAGGGGCTGATTTCTTTGGTTTTGGATCCAGCTGGATGTCGGCATTGCCGAGGCCACCATGGTTGGCTCACCAACTGTCGGGGAATCACCAGGGTCTGAGAAATCTTGTGTGCATGTAAGGAGCTGTGGGAGCAGAGAACCACTGGGTGGGAAATTCTAATCCCCACCCTGCTGGAAACTCTCTGGGTGGCCCCAACATGCTAATCCTCCGACAAACCTCTGCTTCCTCCTCAAAAGGCAGGAGGTCGGAAAGAATAAACAATGAGAGTCACATTAAAAACACAAAATCCTACGGAAATACTAAAGAGTGAGTCTCAGCACTAAGGAAAAGCCTCCAGCACGTCTCGCTTTCTGAGGGTGAAGGATAGACGCTGTGGCCCTGCATGACTCACTAGCACTTTATCACAGCTATATTCTGCCAGGGTCAATGGCTCCAACTAACATTTGTTTGGTACTTTACAGTTTATTAAATAGATTTTTATATGGAGAAGCTCTCATTTCTTTCTCAGAAGAGCCTGGCTAGGAAGGTGGATGAGGCAACATATTCATTTTGCAGATGAAATTCCTGAGACGTAAGGAGCTGCTGTGACTTGCTCAAGGCCTTATATCGAGTAAACGGTAGTGCTGGGGCTTAGACGCAGGTGTTCCGATTTATAGTTCAAAACCTCTATCAATGAGAGGGAAATCTCCTGGTGATGTGATAGACTTCCCAACTTAATGCCAACATACCATAAACCTCCCATTCTGCTAATGCCCAGCTTAAGTTGGGGAGACCACTAGTTTGCTTTGCTCGGCCTTCTTTCCATGCCTGTCTTTGCTCTGCCAGAGTTATATTGCTGGGGTTTTGAAGAAGATCCTATTAAATAAAAGAATAAGCAATATCATTAAGTAGCCCTGCATTTCAGGTTTCCTTGAGTGGCAGGCCAGGCCTGGCAGTGAACGTTCACTGAAATCATGGCCTCTTGGCCAAGATTGATAGCGTGTGCCTGTCCCTGAGTCCCAGTCCATCAAAAACAGCTGGTTTCTAAAATGCTGTTTCCCATATAAAGCATGAGACCATGACTTGCCAGCCCCATGGAACCCCGTTCTTGTCCATCACTGGCATCTGGACTTCAGCCTGGGTTGGGGCAAAGAAGGAAATGAGATCATGTCCTAACCCTGATCCTCTTGTCCCACAGATATCCAGAACCCTGACCCTGCCGTGTACCAGCTGAGAGGCTCGAAATCCAATGACACCTCTGTCTGCCTATTCACTGATTTTGATTCTGTAATGAATGTGTCACAAAGCAAGGATTCTGACGTGCATATCACAGACAAAACTGTGCTAGACATGAGGTCTATGGACTTTAAGAGCAACGGTGCTGTGGCCTGGAGCAACAAATCCGATTTTGCATGTACAAGCGCCTTCAAGGACAGCGTTATTCCAGCAGACACCTTCTTCCCCGGCACAGGTAAGGGCGGCTTTGGTGCCTTCGCAGGCTGTTACCTTGCTTCAGGAGTGGCCTGGTTCTGCCCAGAGCTCTGGTCAACGATGTCTAAAACTCCTCAGATTGGTAGTCTTGGCCTCATCAATTGCCACAAAACCCTCTTTTTACTGAGAAACAGTGAGCCTTGTCCTGGCAGTCCAGAGAATGACACGGGAAAAAAGCAGATGAAGAGAAGGTGGCAGGAGAGGGCACTGGGCCCAGCCTCAGTCTCTCCAACTGAGTTCCTACCTGCCTGCCTTTGCTCGGACTGTTTGCCCCTTACTGCTCTTCTACGCCTCATTTTAAAGCCCTTCTCCAAGTTGCCTCTCCTTATTCCTCCCTGTCTGCCAAAAAATCTTTCCTAGCTTACTAAGTCAATCTCATGCAGTCACTCATTAACCCACCAACCACTGGTTGTGCCGGTACATGAATGCACCAGGTGCTGAAGTGGAGGAATAAAAGTCAGATGAGGGGGTCTGCCCAGAGGAAGCTCCATTCTAGTTAGGGGAGCCCATCTGTCAGCTGGGAAAAGTCCAGAAAACTTCAGATTGGAATGTGTTTTAACTCAGGGTTGAGAAAACAGCCACCTTCACGACAAAAGTCAGGGAAGAGCTCTCTGAAGAAATGCTACTTGAAGGTACCAAGCATACCAAGGGCAGGGAGAGGACCCTATAGAGGCCTGGGACAGGAGCTCAATGAGAAAGGAGAAGAGGAGCAGGCATGAGTTGAGTGAAGGAGGCAGGGCCAAGTCACAGGGCCTCCTAGGCCATGAGAGGGCAGACAGTATTCTAAGTATACCAGAAAGCTGTTGATCAGCTTCAAGCAGGGGAGGGACACCTAATTTGCTTATTTTATTTATTTTATTTTATTTTATTTTATTTTATTTTATTTTATTTTAAGACGGAGTTTTGCTCTTGTTGCCCAGGCTGGAGTGCAATGGCACATCTCGGCTCACTGTAGCCTCCGCTTCCCAGGTTCAAGCGATTCTCCCGCCTCGGCCTCCCGAGTAGCTGGGATTACAGGCTCCCACCACCACACCCAGCTAATTTTTTGTATTTTTAGTAGAGACAGGGTTTCACTATGCTGGCCAAGCTGGTCTGAAACTCCTGACCTCAGGTGATCCACCCGCTTCAGCCTCCCAAAGTGCTGGGATTACAGGCGCGAGCCACCCCACCCGGCCTGCTTTTCTTAAAGATCAATCTGAGTGCTGTATGGAGAGTGGGTTGTAAGCCAAGAGCAGAAGCAGAAAGGGAGCAGTTGCAGCAGAGAGATGATGGAGGCCTGGACAGGGTGGTGGCAGGGAGGTGACCGACACCATTCAGGTTTCAAAGGTAGAACCATGCAGGGATAAGAAAGCCAAGAGGGGATCAAGGAAGGCAGCTGGATTTTAGTCTGAGCAGCTAAGTCAATGATAGTGCCATTTTATTAAGATGAAACCAAGGAACAAATTTGGGGTACAAGGATCAAAACTTTTTGGAACACATGAAAGTACCTGTTTATACTCTTTACGGCCCTTGCCACTGTGTATGCCTCACTGCCTCCATTGGACTCCAGAATGAAGCCACGCAAGAGCAGGGTCTATGTGTGATGGCACCTGTGGCCTCTGTCATGCAACATGTACTTTGCACAAACAGTATATATTGAGTAAATAGAAATGGTGTCCAGGAGCCAAGGTATCAGTCCTGCCAAGGCCAGGGGCTCTCCCTAGCATGTGCCCATGTGCTGTAAGTTCCCTCCAGATCTCTCCACAAGTAAGCATGGAAAGGCTGTAGATGTTCACCTGCCCAAGAACTAGGAGGTCTGGGGTGGGAGAGTCAGCCTGCTCTGGATGCTGAAAAAATGTCTGTGTTTTTCCTTTCAGAAAGTGTCTGTGATGCCAACCTGGTTGAGAAAAGCTTTGAAACAGGTAAGACAGGGGTCTAGCCTGGGTTTGCACAGGGTTGCAGAAGTGATGAACCCGCAGTAATCCTGCCTGGATGAGGGAGTGGGAAGAAATGAGTAGATGTGCGAACGAATGATGACGAATGGAAACAGCAGTTCGAGACCTGCCCAGAGCTGGGTGGGGTCTCTCCTGAATCCCTCTCACCATCTCTGACTTTCCATTCTAAGCAGTTTGAGGATGAGTTTCTAGCTTCAATAGACCAAGGACTTTTTCCTAGGCCTCTGTATTCCTTACAACAGCTCCACTGTCAAGAGAGCCAGAGAGAGCTCCTGGGTGGCCCAGCTGTGAAATTTCTGACTCCCTTAGGGATAGCCCTAAACTAACCGGATCATCCTGAGGACAGTTTCACAGCCAAGAGGTTTTGCCTTCTTTCAAGAAAAGCAACAGTACTCACATAGGCTCTAGGCAATGGTCTTGTCTCTCAAGAACCCCCCACCACTCCTCACACCCACCCTGGGCCCATATTCATTTCCATTTGAGTTGTTCTTACTGAGTCATCTCTCCCGTGGTAGCGGAACTCACTAAGGGGCCCCTATGGACCCCAGGGATTGAAATGATAAATTCTGAGCAGCTACCCCATCCCCAGAAGGGCTCGGAAATAAAATAAGAGCCAAGTCTAGTCGGTGTTTTTGTCTTGAAACACAAAATACTGTTGGCCCTGGAAGAATGCACGAAATATGTTTGCAAGGGGATATGCACAGAAGCTGCAAGGGAGAGGCGATGCAGGAGCCTCAGGCCTCCCCCACCCAGCCTGCTCTGCCTTGGGGAAAACCATGGGTGTGTCGTGCAGGCCATGCAGGCCTGGGACATGCAAGCCCATAACCGCTGTGGCCTCTTGGTTTTACAGATATGAACCTTAACTTTCAAAACCTGTCAGTGATTGGGTTCCGAATCCTCCTCCTGAAAGTGGCCGGGTTTAATCTGCTCATGACACTGCGGCTGTGGTCCAGCTGAGGTGAGGGGCCTTGAAGCTGGGGAGTGGGGGTTAGGCACGCGGGTCTCTGGGTGCACCCTAAGCTCTGAGAGCAAGCCTCCCTGCAGGGTCTTGCTTTTAAGTCCAAAGCCTGAGTGAGACCACCAAACTCTTCTATTTCTTCCTGTTACAAATTCCTCTTGTGCAATAACAATGGCCTGAAACACTATAAAACATGCTCATTTCAGCCACCTCAGTTGAACTTCTCCCCTATGAGGTAGGAAGAACAGAAATGAAGAAACTGAGGCCACACAGCTAATGAGTGGAAGAAGAGAGACACCCGTTTACACCGCATGCCTTGTGCTGTACTTCTCTCACCATGTGACCTAAAGGGACCCCCAAGGCCTCTCCTCATGTCCTCTCTCCCCATATGGCCCTCTTAGCTCAGTAGAAAGAAGACATTACACTCATATTATACCCTAATCCTGGCTAGAGTCTCCACGCCCACCTCCCCCAGGGTCCCCAGTCATCTTGCTGACAACTGCATCCTGCTCCATCACCATCAAAAAAACTCCAGGCTGGGTGCGGGGCCTCACGCCTGTAATCCCACCACTTTGGGAGGCAGAGACAGGAGGAGCACAGGAGCTGGAGACCAGACTGGGCAACATAGGGAGACCCCGCCTCTACAAAAAGTGAAAAAATTAGCTGGGTGTGGTGGTGCACACCTGTAGTCCCAGTTACTTAAGAGGCGGAAATGGGATGATCGCTTGAACCCTGCAAGATCAAGGCTGCAGTGAGTTGTGATCATGCCACTGCACTCCAGCCTGGAAGACAAAGCAAGATCCTGTCTCAAAAAAATAAAAAAATAAGAACTCCAGGATCCATTTGCTCCTAGAACTCTACCACACAGCCCCAAACAGAGCCATCTCCATCACACCCCTAACAGTCCTGGGTCCTCCTCAGTGTCCAGCCTGACTTCTGTTCTTCCTCATTCCAGGTCTGCAGGATTGTAAGACAGCCTGTGCTCCCTCGTTCCTTCCTCTGCATCGCCCCTCCCCTCCCTCTCCAAGCAGAGGGAGCTCTCCCACCCCCATGGAGGAGAAAGCTGCTACCACCTCTGTGCCCCCCGGCAATGCCACCAACTGGATTCTACCCAAATTTGTGATTAAGATTGCCGAAGAGCTGCCAAACACCGCTGCCACCCCCTCTGTTCCCTTATGGCTGCTTGTCACTGCCTGACATTCACGGCAGAGGCAAGGCTGCTGCAGCCGCCCCTGGCTGTGCACATTCCCTCCCGCTCCCCAGAGACTGCCTCCACCACCCCACAGATGATGGATCCTCAGTGAGTTCTCTTGGGCTCTAGGTCCTGGAGAATGTTGTGAGGGGTTTATATTTTTTAAATAGTGTTCATAAAGAAATACATACTATTCTTCTTCTCAAGACATGGGGGGAAATTATCTCATTATCGAGGCCCTGCTATGCTGTGTATCTGGGTGTGTTGTATATCCTGCTGCCAATGGCTTCATTAAAATGGTTTGGAAGAGCAGAGACTGTGCCTCTGTTTGACTGGGTTTGGTTGCAGTCATTTTCTGCTTGCTGGTAATCACTAGCTGGGCAGAGAAAAACCAAGGCATTTGTCTATGATGCGGTCCAGGAAGCCTCATTCAACAAGCTGCCTAAGTCAACCTCTTCTTGGAATAACCTCTAAAAGCTTCCGCTTAGCAGGCTATGCTTGAGGGCCAGGAAAACCCACCTACCGGCTTGGGCCCCTTCTCTTCCACTCTCATGCCACGCCACGGGACCACCCATAACAGGAGCCCATACACATGGGTGGCAGTGACCCACAGCAGACAGGGACCACACAGCAAGTGTCCCCAAAATGCCACCCACGTCTCCTGCCCTCCAGGAGCATTTCCTTTGCCTCTCCTCTCAGACTGGGTTTCCACTGAAACTGCATTGTCTCACAAATGCATGGCTGGGGACCACCCACCACTCTGCTGCCTGGCCCAGCCCCACGCCAGGCCTTTGAGGTGCCCAATCTGACAGCAGGAGCAGGGTTGAGAGGAGGCTGTGGCCCCAGCAGGACTTTATGTTCCCACCATCCCGGATGTGAGAATGAGGAAAAAGGAGATGAGTTGTCTCCCCACGAGCCCAGAGATTTGACCGAGGAGAGTCGATGCCCTGAGCTCTCCCCTGGAAGAAAAGACATGGGGCTCCCTGGGGTCCACAGCACACTGTGCTCTCCCTCCTGAGACTCCTGCTGCCAGAGCACCTTTCCCCAGGGTCAGGGATGCCGAGGGGAACACAGCTTAGAGATCACTCCACCATCCACCCAGCAAGCACAGCTACCAAGACCCAAAGCTGAGGCTTACCAACGCCCGGGGGTGGGAGAGGGTTCCATCCCTGAATACCTCCATGGTTCCCCTATGCGTCTGACCATCCCAGCCAGAAATACGTAAATCCTCTCAGCTACAGCTCAGGCCTGCTTTTTTTCATAGGGAAGAAGCTACAGGTTGAGTATCCCTTCTCTGAAATGCATGGTACCAGAAGTGTATCAGGTTTTGGATTTCTTTTCTTTTTGAGTCGGAGGTAGAATATTAGCCTTATACTTACCAATTCGACATCCCTAATCTAAAAATCTGAAATCCAAGATGCCCCAGTGAGCATTTCCTTTGAACATCATGTGGGCACTTAAAAAGCTTCAGATTTTGGAGCATTTCACATTTCAGATTTTTGAATTAGGGATACTTAACCTGTACCAGCTTTAATAGGTGACCTAGGGCACACCCCTGCCCTCTACAGGCTTATGTGTCGCCACTTACGAAATGTCGGGTAGGACTGGAGGCTACCTCCCACTCCCTGCACCGCTGATTCTGTGTCCCCTGTAGAATTAAGAACCAGTGTCCCCTCTCCTGGTCAGCCCTACTGAGGGGAGTCACAAAATCCCCAGTTCTTTCTAAGCTGCCCCATCTCTCACCTACATCCAATCCCCTTAAAGATCACCAAAGGGAAAGGGCTCAGAACTCCATCACAGCAGGGCCACCCTCACACATGGTAGGACTGTAGCACCTTCACAAAGGTGGGGTTTGCCACCTTAGGGGAACTCTGGGGGGCCTCTACCTCCTCACCAGTCTGACACAATGCCAGAGATTCCACCACTGGGAATTTCTTATAATTAAAGCATTCTCTTCCCTGTATTAAATGAAAATGCCCCTGGGAGGGTTAATAGAGCAAGCCTTTATCAACCATTAAAAACTGAGGGCCAGTTAGTTTCTCTTTCTTTTCCCCCTGAAGTGGTAATTCATTTTGCTTTGTAGAAAAAAGATTCAGGCGAGGGAAGTGTGGGTGACTGGGGAGGCAGGTCTGCTCTTTTGAGTTGGCTGCAGTGACATGGAGGTCATAGGGCTGAGGGAAGGAAACAGGAGCCTGGAAGGCAGTGAAGAGGTGAAAGATAGACCCCTGCAATAATCTTAGAGGCGACCCAGACTGCAGGAGACCTGCAGGAGGCCTGCGGGAGCCTGTGGAGGCCTGTGGAGGCCTGCCAGCCCAGTGCCCTCAGAGAGCAAAGACAGTCACTGGTCCCCCAAGGCCTCCCACAGATCTATGCAAGGTGATGCAGCAGGGGCTATGGACCCACCCACACCCAAGCAAGGAGGCAAGATGACAAGGCCAGGGCAGGTAGGGAGCCATCTGGAGAGCGGGCTCAGCTCCACCCCTGAGAAATTTCCATCTAAATCCAGGAGCTGCTCTATTCAGCAAGAACCTTCCCTCACGTCTGAGGCTGTTAAACCTAAAGCCAGTTAGGGCAGAGGTCAGAGGGGTGGACCAGGAGCAAGTGGGTTGAGGCTGAGCAAGTGTTGGGGGTGGGGCCAGAGACTCCATCCATCTCCGACTGCTCTGCTCGCATGTCTGGCTCCGAGCCCACCTGGGATATCAGAGGGAATTAGAGTGGCCTTGTGAGAAGGCTCAGGAGAAGGGCTCCTGTGCCCACCGGGCAGGTCAGCACTGAGCCTAGCACCACCACAATAAAGACCCTCAGTGCAGAGGGCCCAGCTATAAGGAACTGGGCATTGCTTGGCCTGGAGGGAATAGGAAGCTGAGGAGACCTGGAAACACAGTCATGAAGAGCCCGGCCGTGAACACCCACAGACCCTGCGAGCCAGGGCCATGGGCTGCAGCTGCAGCTCTACCAGCCTGGACCCAACCTCAGGCCAACATCCCAGCAGGGAACATGTTACTAAGGCCAGCTTTAGAAGGGACTTCTCTGGACACATGCCCTACTGTCCCAAAAGACTTAAGCACAGGCCAGTCCCAAAGGCATAAGAATGGACTAAATGAGCTCTCGTGGCCCCAGGCCTAAGATTCTAGAGGACTCTCTGAAACTTCACTCGGAGACCTGACCTCTGAGGGCAACTGGAGTCACAGCCACTCAGGCGAAACGGCAGGCTACGCAAGCACGTGTTTCAGGAGCATCCTGGTGGGGTCTTCGGCTCTGACAGAGCAACCCCTCTGCTGTTACCCTTACTGGGGGCAGCCATCTGAGTCTTTGGGTTTGCTTATTTTTTAGGTCCAAACATAAAATTCAACTCCCCTGGGATCATGTATACAGACAGACCTATAGCACCTTATTATCAGGTACCATCCTGGTGAGGAAGTCCCCTGGCCTGTGTGCTCTGTGGGACGGGAATGTTCCTTGTCATCAATGTGTCCCCAGGAACTAGAACAGTGCCTGGCACACGACAGATGCCATTAAATAAATAAGTGAATGACTCCTGCAGTTAGGCTCTGGGTGGGGGGAGCTGAGTGTGAGGAGTGGGGAGTACAGGAGAAAGGAAAGTGGGGATTAGTAGAGGAAGTGGTCAGGTGAGTCAATGTTTCACAGTTTTGCCAAGAGCTAAAGTAACTTGTCAAGAACTTCAGAACAAGCAAAACCTGAGTGGTGGCCCCTTGGTCAGGGCAGCCCCCAGGCAGGCACACATCTATCCAATGAAGCCTGGAGGACAGGGACTGTGGGAAAGCACACAGGGTAGCTGGGAGTCTGACCCCACTGTGTGACTACACCGAGGTCCGGGGCCAACAGTCACTTTATGTGGGTTCACCTCAGTTTCTCCATGAGTCCTACTCTAAAACCCATCTACTTCCTTGATCCATGTGTGGGAAGACGAGCTTCTGACTGGGATGAGTCTGGGGGAGCAAGCACATGGAGACCCAGTGCTGTCATTCTGGCTGCGGGAAGGCTGCAGGACCACCAGCGCCCTGCGTCTGCGTCAAGGACCCCTGGGCAACGCGGTGAGGGGTGGGGGGTGCAGGCCTCCTTTCACACAGAGACACACATGCCTGAGGCCTCTCTGCGTAGCACACATAGAGCTATCTTTTGCAATTAATAAACAGGTCAGACATTGAGTCAGTAGCCACAAGTAGAACAGGAAGTGGAAAAAGTCTCCCACTTCCCTCCAGGTGTTTGGGGGCTGGGGCGGTCCCCTCCCATTTCCAAGATGTCATGGTTACCAAGAGGGGCAAGTAGGGCACCCTTTGAAGCTCTCCCACAGAAGCCACATCCTCTGGAAAGAAGAGTTAAAAATACTGAGTTAGAGATAGCATCGTCCCAGGCCACGTGCCGAGGGGAGCAGGCTGGGCCGTTACACCACCCGCCAGCCGCAGGTGCAGCAAGGCCAACACGCCAGGCTGGGAGGGGCTGCCGGCCCCTCTGTGACTTGCACCGGGCCCGCTGCCTGCTGGGGCGGTGCTGCTGGCCCCACTGCTGAGCCGCCTCCCTCACCGCACCTCTGCTGCCCCTCCAAACCAGCCAAGATCAGACCTCGATCTCACCTGGTTAAGTGCTTACTTAGTACAGGACAGACCCTCAGGGCTCTCCTGGGAGGGAGGGATGTGGGGAGGCTGTATCTGTCCCCACACACAGCTAGGGCTGATTCTCTGAGGGACCCCCTTCAATAGCCCCCCCTTACCCTGATGTTTGTCCATTAGGTGATGGCCCTAATGGACGCCTTGATGGACACGTCCGGGACCCAGGGACCCGGAGACCAGGAATCTGCAGGTCTCCGGGAGCCGCAGAACCTGAAACCCAAAAATACCAGGCTTGATCGCCGGCTCTTTGGTAGTGTCGCCATCCACCCGCATGGGGGCAGCAGCGCTCCACCAAAAAGACCTCTCCTCCCTTTGTCTGTTAATTCTGGAGAGAGAAAGCCCCCAAGGTTTAGGAAAAGCTCTTTTCCGAGGAAAATAAAAGGGCGGGTGACTTTTATCCCACAAGTCCCTGCCCTGTGCCCGTCACTTTGCTGGGCGCAAGACCTGTGTTATCATGTCACATCCCCACAGAGAGGAGGGACTGGGGGCTGGGCCGGCAGCAGGGGGCGCTGCTCGTCCGGGATCGTCAGACCCGCTCCACCTGGAGCCCTGCAGAAAGTGCAGAGGGAGGGCTGGGGGCCCGGAGGAAGCCTTGGATTCGGAATTAGGGTGGCTGGCGTCCGGAATCCACCACTTCATAGAGCTGTGCCTTTGGCAGGTCACTAATCGCCCACCGCCTCAGT